TTTCATCCAAGTGATACAAGCTCGACATGGACTATGATTTCACCCTTTGTCATTGATATTAATAGCATGAATCAATCCAATGAGGCTATGTAGTTTGGCTTTTTTTTTTTTTTTTTCTAAATTCATTTGATTGTACCCTTGCCAAGGCTTAGGATCTCCCAACCTTCATTCGCTTCACGCCATCTCCTACCTTTCTCCCAAAAGACTCTCTACTCACAAGAGATTGAGAAACAGTACAAGGAAGAACTCAGCTCTTATCTACCTAAAATCTTTCTGGATTCTAAAAAAAAAGGCCCTTTCGCCTTCAGTGCCCTACAACCGAAGAAACAGCAAGGACTTGAAATGCATTGAATTCATCATATCTGTGAGTCACTATCATTGTTCATTTGATTTATATAGCTCGTATAGAAGTTTGTCAAAACAAAATTCTGCCAAGTAGACTGAGTTGATATATCGACGGCTACCAGGCAGCAGGGGTGACACAATGTCTCAACAGCAGTACATCTCCTATTTGGGATAGACAGAAGAACATCTGGTTATTCCTATCATTCCTTAGTCGATTACTTATATGTCATACTTACTTGCCACTATAGCTACATTTTTACCGGGAAGCACATGTTTGAAAGGCCTCTCCATGGGACGACGTCGACTATTGTAAGAGGGACGGCCTACTTATGATTGGATTGATTTCAAGTAGATTTCCTGGGAATATTGATCCTTGCTTGTACTTTCCTTCTCGAGTCAATGCTGAATATGCTTTCTTGTCACTAAAGCTTAGGTATATAGTTTTACCATGATATTTCGTTACTCTTCAACATCCTATTAGCTGAAGTAAAAGTGGTCTAGAAAGCGCACTTCAATGCTAATATAAACAGCGGGAAGCCAAGGTACACCTGTATGGTAAGTTCAATGATGTCGGGGTTTAGGTCATTCTTCTGGATTTTGATCAGTGGAGGCCCCGACTTTGGGTGACTTTAATCCTGAAAATCATGATCGTACATTTAGTAGTGGTCTAGTAGTGGTAGTAGTACTTTCCTGGATGAGCTTCCAGACAAAGTGACCTAAGCAAGAGGTTTCAAGAATATGTATATAACTAAAATTAGTATGCATCCTATGGATGAGCATGTATGATCTAATGAACTAGAGACTTTTGTGTTCAGCTTCGTCAAACATATCTCATAATATGTAATATTACTATATGCTTTCTATACTATATCACATACAGTTTGGACCTCGGTATCGTTGACTTTACTGAATCAGTGAGGGACTCTACCTGTCTACCTACGATACACTAGGCTTCTAGGTTCCCTTCCCCGAATATATGTTGAAAGAGGAAATAATAATAGCTCTGTGAAACCAAGGAGTTTGAAGTACAGGTTAGGATGATATACCTTAAACATGAGTAACACACTCTCGGGCACGTACAACAGTACAGAATGTCGCAAGGTAAGAGCCTCATTACCTATTGAAACCTTGCTCATGTAGGGGTAAACAGGATTAACCTGAGAGTTGCATTATTTAAAGGTGCAGCAAGCTGCGGATTGTGGGGCGCAACTGGGCCAGAAGATAATACAGCTGCCAGCTGGCATATGCTGCCAAGAGAACCGTTTGCAGCAAGTTTCAGAAAAGGTGGGTCAGTCAAGAAGGGGCTAGCCGTACGGCTGTGGGCACACATCCTTTTTGACTAACTCTCATGCACCTGAGTGCTTCCGCTTTGTGCGGTTACGTAGGTATTAGCTACATAGGCATCTTCACTTGGAGATCCGACGGGAAGGCTAGATCGAAGGCGGATTCTACCTAGGCCAGAACCACTTTGACCTATATGGTATTCAGGGAGACGCTGCCTAGAGGCCCCAAGTACGCTCCGTCTGGGTTACCCGGGAAGGCTACCTTAAGCCTACCAGGGAACTTGCACTTAAGGAGCAGGAAGTAACTAGGAACAGAAATAGACAATAGTAGTTTATAGGTAATTGGTGAGCCAACTGCGACGCCGGTCCGACGCCAACTTTAATTTCTTCGTATTCAGCCGAGGTATAGACGGTTTGTATATATGCGACACTGCATTACTTAGTGTGTCGTAAACTTTGCGCCATATCAACGGGCACAGCGTTCTGAGCCATTTCCTTGCTTCAGACAGTGAAGCGCCTGCACAGCTAGCACCTTGTATACCGAGCCCGATCAGGCCAAGATAGAAGTTGTATTTCATTAAAGATCGATACCATTGCGCAAGCAGTCTTCAGCATTTCCTTCTTGGTAGCCATACAAACAATGCCAGCGGCCGCACTAACAGTTAGTACGTCGCCCTTCGTGCGAGGCGACACAAGGTCGACAATGGGGAAGAAGAGAGCCTCGGTCTTCAGGGAGGCATGAGCCTATCGCCGCCGAGCGGGCATAGGAGGGTACCCTGTGAGATTTCTCAGGTCGGTGTCGCTTGCCATCACGGCAGCTCGCTGCTGGGCTAAGAGGAAGCTGGAGCCCACAATTCAGCTCCTCTCTGCGAGCGAGTTAGGAAGGTATGAAATCGTTTTGCTTTCAACGGGCAAACTCAGACAAGGAATCAATAGAACGATATCCGGTTCCTTGGTAATTGTCGCATGCCGTGTTGTATATATGGGACGAGAGTTTGAGTCAAGTATCGCCGATTCGCCTTACTGAGGCGCACTATGGGAGCGACATTGGTGGTGTACGTATTGACTGGGATAGCGCTTCTGGATGCTGAGTTGACTCAATCACTTGCCTCTCATTGGCCTTGAGTAGCTATAGGTTAGGGAGCTGCCAGCGCCCGCATTTCGGTTCGTCACCAGCGGAGGCAATGAAATTGAGAGTGGAATCCTGACAACCCATGTCACCGTTTCAGATCAGCCCATCAACCCGCCCAAAACCACGCGACCAACGCTGTTGAGTTCGCTCTTGGCCTGGTGACGGCTGGCATCCTCAAATTCGCGTATGATCCCCGCCACCATAATCTTCCTTATCTTGGCATCCGCCTTGGAAAACATTTCCCCCAGTGCGACAGTACATACTGAAGGTGTGAAGACTAGCGACACCAATCGCGTGTAACAGTCAATGAGAATATCACACAGGGTAACAAATGTTTCGAAATAGTCCGGTTCAAATGGCAATAATGGCGTCAGAAGATATGTGTATTCCTCACCGGGGAGGAGCTCCGAGGCCTCCGTATGCGGAAACGAGACGGTCGCTGCCGCCGCGCTGGCTGAGTTATTCGCCATTGACTTCAAATCTGACGGGTCACTGGATTGTATCGGTAGGCCGATTTCTGTAGCCGAGCTGGTGCGGCGCGCTTTCGTGCCGGCGTGAGCGGCGCGCTTGAACATCTGAGGGATACGGGCGCGAGTGAGGGTGGAGGAGGAGGTGCCGTCGGGAGGATGCACTTGCTGAAAAGCCTCGAATTCAATTAAGAGGGTGTTGAGTGCGCGAAGGAATTCCACGGGTGTCGTGCTGACATCGAGAATCGGAGGCAGGGAGAGGCCCAAGAGAAGGTAATTGATGGCGCGACGGGCGAGTTTACGGGGCTCAAAGTATGGCAGTCGACTGATATCGGTCCGGGAAAAGTGAACTGTATTGAACCAATAGATGCGGCCTTCATGCGCTTTCCGCAGATAACCCAGTGTAGAGATCCGCTTAGCAGCCATATCGTGGATGTGCTGATAGATTGCTGCTGCGCTTTGAGGCCCAAGTGATCCGCTACCACTCGTTAACGGGGGTGGCATGGACCCCACCGATGGGTCATGACTGATGCTGGATTTGGTGTCCCGGCGCGAAAGACTGGGGGCAAAAGTCGAGGAAATCATATTGGACATGGCTATGTAGTTGGAGAAGGTTGCCTACCCCGGCATAAACGTGGATTCCGTACTCCGTAGGCAATGAGGATACACGATTAAAAGGGGCTGGCTCAAGAAAGCGTACTAGTAGGGAAGATCCGCGGGATCGGGAAGGAGATGGAATCTCCGTGGCACGTGACCGTGATTACTGCAAGCAGAGACGGAGCTGGCGAGCCTGTAACGTCTAGGGAAAGTATTATGATGGGCTAATGAATAAGGTTATTATAAGCAGTCGTTTCAGTCGCATGGATTGCTGGTACGACTAGCAGTCGGCGTGCAAATGTAATGGACGAGCTGATTGGAAATTAGCCCCATCCAAAACAGGCTCTAGATTAGTAGGTTTGACCAGTTAGTAGCTGGATTATATATTAAAATGGGGACACTCAAAATGTCCACTAAGCATGTTAGCTCAGGGGAAGAGCGCCGGGCTCATAACCCGGAGGTCCCTGGATCGAAACCAGGACATGCTATCTGCTTTCTTTTTTTCTCTTTGCCGTCGTAGCTGATCGCTTCTTTTTGTTCATTCAAAACATGCTGGCATAGGCTGTTCATGCTACTTAATAACTCGGTATCTATTCTTATTACGGAGTACAACCAAGAGAATCCCGAGTCGCCGTGTTGCTGTCCAGGAGATTCCCCCGGGCCGTCCCAAGAACAACTGATGCTTTTCAGCCGTGATCGATTTGATTTTCATAGTTGCCATGGTGGTGGATACTGACGAATTGAGTATATACGTACCGGTAGCATAAATTTCTTTACATACTAGTATCCTTGAGTAGGTTACTCGAGGGAATGATACACATATTATGTGGCAGGTGCCAACTATATCTTGAAAAGGACTAGCGTAGGGGTCTACGTGGCTATACCTTAACAGGTTAGTCGCTGACTATCACCCCGGCTGGGCACTGACATGTGACCGACCGCCTTCCCAAAGGGATTGGCTCCGAGCTGAATGAATGAATAGGAAGGATATCTTCCGGTACTTGACCACCTTCTTTCCCCTCCTTACGAATTAATGGCCCCTTGAGATGACCTAGTATCAGGTCTTCTCTGTGGCGAGCCCCAATACTTTCTTGCGGCTTTGTGTTTCAATATGCTTCTGCGCTCGGCCACTTCTTATTTGATTAGAACTGGCCAGGGGTATCAACTATTCCTAGCATGACACGCCGACTTGTATGTCCCTTTTCTTCTGATCATGGAGTGCTCCTATCAGAAGATTCAGAACTAATCGGATATCTCTATAGGTTCGAGCGGGCGTGCAGCTCGCGATTTTCGCATCTTTCATCGCCCTTCTCGTCGTGACCTTGGACAACAGGTTCCGTGTCCTTCCTGCCTCCATCCACGGCCATCTTCCATCCCACTATGCTGGCTTCGCCATCACCGATGTCACCGTTGTGACTTGTTCTTCCATCAACGTTTTCTCAAACTGTCAACCTAGCCAGGAGTCCTGGTCCCAGGTCGAGAAAGACCTCTACCTTCGCACCGGCTGGACCTCAAGCGCATTTGTTCGATTTGAGCGAAAGAAAGAGGAAGAACTGCTTCCTACAGACAAGGTTGTTATTGACCTTAAGATTAGCCGACTTGTTCCCGAGTATTCGGAGGATCCTGAGGCCCAGGCAGAGACATGGGAGCAAAGACCCGGTGGTATCTGGCTCAAGCGAACCGCTAAGCGCCACGCGAGTGACTCTGGAAAAGCAATCACCGCTATCGATGTCCTCTTTGGTGCCGATGCAGTCGATCCGCGAATTGGCTGGGAAGTCAGGGATACTCCATTGCTACTGGATAGCCGTACGGAGGAACTGGAAACTCGAATCAGCGTCCGTCGGGGAGATCCTCCCAAAACGAAGAAACCGGTGCCCAGGATAAACGAGAATGGGCGCTTCAAGATCATGCAGCTGGCTGACTTGCATCTGAGCACCGGCCTAGGGGCTTGCCGTGAACCCGTCCCGGCTGAACCCGTTCCAGGGCAGAAGTGTGAAGCCGATCCTCGGACGCTAGAGTTCGTGGAAAGGCTTCTAGACGAAGAGCAGCCTGATTTTGTTGTATTAAGTGGCGACCAGGTTAATGGTGAGACGTCGAGGGATGCTCAGAGTGCTCTTTTCAAGTCCGTTAAACTCCTTGTTGATCGCAAGATACCCTACGCGGCCATTTTCGGCAACCATGATGATGAGGGTAACCTGAAGCGACCGGAGCTTATGACTATCTTGGAGGATTTGCCGTACTCTTTATCTACTGCGGGCCCCGAGGAAATCGACGGAGTCGGAAACTATTATGTCGAGATTCTTGGCCGCGGAAGCACCACCCACTCAGCGCTAACCCTTTACCTTTTGGACTCACACTCGTACTCTCCTGATGAGCGGAATTATCGCGGGTATGACTGGATCAAGCCGAGTCAGATTCGGTGGTTTAAGAACACGGCCCAAGGGCTGAAGACCAAGCACCATGAATACACCCACATGCACATGAACATGGCTTTCATTCACATTCCATTGCCGGAGTATCGTGATCCCAATAACTACTACCGGGGTAACTGGACAGAAGCTCCAACAGCGCCGGGCTTTAACTCGGGCTTCAAGGATGCCCTCGAGGAAGAGGGTATCCTGTTCGTGAGCTGCGGACAGTAAGCGATGTCTTTCCCACCCATCCATGACTCTTTGCTAACCCGCTTCAGTGACCATGTCAATGACTACTGCATGCTCAATCGAGATAACGAGGAAAAGCCGTCCCTGTGGATGTGCTATGGAGGAGGCGCTGGTTTCGGCGGGTACGGAGGATACGGGGGTTATGTGCGCCGCGTGCGGTTCTATGATTTTGACATGAACCCTGGCCGTGTGGTGACATACAAGCGGCTGGAGTATGGCGAGACGGAAGCCAAAATTGATGAGATGATGATTATCGACGGTGGCATTGTCAAAGGGCCCGAACAAGAAAAGTGAAATGGAGATTGATGCCTTTCCAAGGCGCTGATTGGTATTATTTCTCCTTTCTTTTTGAGCTGGGTCACGCGAGACGCATCTGGCGCTGCTTTTCGGACGATATCATCTATTCGAGGCTCTTACATCTATTACTGGGGAGGCGTTCGTTCCTATTTGAGACTTAACCGGCGGGCATTCATTTTCTTTTCCTTGTATCATATTGGTATTCGATTCAAGCATCTTCAGGATGCGTGGGCCGCGATAGCAGGCAATTTCTCGAGAAAATTGATTATTTTTATCTTCTTTTCCTTCCTTCCTTCCTTCCTACTCTATCACCACCACTTTTCATAATAGACGCGCTCCGTGTCCCCGAGAAAGCCCTCAAGGCTGCTCACCACATCATCCGTCATCCCAGGCGGACCACACACATAACACACCGTCTCTTCCGCCTCAATACTACCATCAGCTCTACTGACCGCCTTGCGTAAATCATCCCGATTGATCCTCCGCGTGTGCAGGTTCAGATCCCCAGATTCCGCAAATTCAGTAAGAGAACTTCGATCCAAACCAGGATCGGTGATGAAAAGATCTAAACTAATCTGCAATCGACGAATCTGTGACTGCGACGCAATGATCTGTCGTAGACGTGAAAGAAACAAGACCTGCTGCAGACTACTAGTACCATTCCCGGTTACTGTTCCTTCTTCCGTCCGTGGGAGTTTCGTTGAGTACAAAAATCGAATATTGAATGATGGGTGAGGAAGAGCGATCTCATCGCCATTGTTTAGATGCGAGAGCATGGATATCAGTGGGCTAGGGTTGTGTTAGTATTTAGTTATGAATCATCTTTCCTGTTGGTGAGTCGACAGAAAACAGAAAACACTCACTTGATCCCTACACCACCTGCCACGAAGACTACATTTCGAACTTTCGTCAAGTCCACGCGGGAAGATGGTGGCCATACAAAACTCCCTCCGACGCGGATACTAAGTTCCGTGCCTAGAATCTGATCCGCCGGTCGCCAGAGCCATACGCTGGCTGGGTTGGAGGGCGCATATTGCACGGCTAACTCTACGTAGGGTGGCCGACCGCGCGAGTCGATGGGTGGAACGTCGGTTTCATCAGTGGTGATTGCCTCGGCGGGGAATTCTAGGGATGGGAGGACTTGTGCGTCGGCTGGAGTGGAGGTAATACTGAAGCCGCCTGCGTTTGGGATGGAGGGAATATGGACGTCCAGCCATTGACCCGGGAGGAATGTTAGGGGTTGTTGGGGGTTGGCTAACTGTTGGGTGTCAGTATGATAGTATGTATATACGGTCGGTCGGAAAGCGGATATGTCGCTGAGAGTATAGAGATTATAGGTGTGCGGTTGGAAATGTCATTTAGAGACATAGATCATTATGGAAAAGAAAATCATACTTCATCCACTTCCTGGCCTTCATCTTCGATATTTTGGACCTCCGGAGGGATGGTCAGCTGTAGCAGTCGCACGGAAGGATTGGCCTGTTCGATATGCGACAACCGGACATTGTACAGTCGGTTCTGGCGGGGTTCGGCAGCGGTGCGCAATTGATGGGGCAGTGAGCCCTTCCGGTTTGTCGGGGAGCTCATGTGGTGTGCTTGGTGATAACAGCACAATTGGTTGGTAGCCGATAGCTGGCGCTTAGAGAAGAGAGCTGATGGGTGATGGCGAGATTGGACTGGGAGCAGTTGATGGCACTGCAGTACTAGTCGGAGTCTCCGCATCCGGAGATCCAATGAATGTTGCGAAGGACTGTTGCTTCTTGGAAATGGTAGCAGCAGTAGTTAGAGGATTCACAGGGCCAGCTGGCGGGATAAACATTTAGTGCCTTTACATGGATTAGAGTATGTGATTTTTTGCCCCGAAATTGACTGTGTTGTAGTTATCAAGAGCGCATTGCTGGTTTGGTACGAAGTAGTGTTGAGTCGAGGCTAGATGGATGACGTTGGGGCATGTCATGTGCCTTCTTGGTTTGTTTGCAGCGAAGTGTACTACTACTTTGTATGTACTCATTCCCATCTTTGTGCTTCAACATCACATCCTACTGATTCAACGAAATGGCTCAGTGAGATAAACAGGGAACTGATGGTGTTCCTAATGACTGTCAACCCCTCCTCCAGTCCTCTTATGCAGGTGCAGTCACAACAGTACTGTACTAGTAAATCACAACTACTTACTTACAGTCTGCCAGTTTGCTCCACCTGGGCGCTTCACACTCTGATTGGACATCCTCGAGCAGTCTTCCAATAAAAATGAATGGCCATGGTCACATGACCTTACACCACCTCATTCATCGTCCCCCTGCCTCGACATTTCTTCCCCTTAGCACGGAGGTATTGAGCCATCTAATACGGAGTAGTCATTAGCTATTAGAGCTGATACTCTCATGGGTCGCACCCACCAACGGGTGGCCAGATTCCTCTCTTTGTCTCGGTGCGTAGAGGGTTGCTGGGAGCATGCAGATCGCCTTCCCCATCACACGCTAGGCGTGTGACGGCTGTCAACCAAACGGCTACTTCTGCCTCCTCATTGGTGATAGACCCCGGCCTGGCGCCGATGCTGGCGCTTCCTAGACGGCAAGCATTGGCCAAATGCAACCCGTGGGAAACATCAACTGCATTTCCCGCTTTCCTGCCTTGCCATTGCATTGCTGTGATAGCGCCGTTCTCCTCATCTGGACCATGCACCACAAGAGGATGGACGCCGGCGCTTCTGGGGTGCCAGACTTCTTATCCTCTCCATCTCCCCGGCTGATCATCCGGAGCTCCTCTCTCTGGTAGCCATTCCTCTCTCCTTGCTCTCATCTATGTGTTAGCACTTGGTGTTTGATGCCAGTGAGCTGAACGTACAGCCACAACCGACCTGGACTTCAGTCGCAGGTGAAACACGAGCCCAGGCACTCCATCAGAGCGAGTACACTTTCTACCGTGATACTATCCGTCGTGGTTCATCTTCCTAGTTGACTTTGACGTCTTCGCATAAATCAACACCACCAGTCATGATGCGCATGCGCATGCCGCCGCTTCGTGATCTCTTCCCAACGAAATGGCGTAATCACAACTTGATGTATATATTGATGACCATCGAACTGCCTCTTACGGTCATCATCCTCACGCTTACGGGTATCGCCTCTCATGACCTCTACCGGACGAAGCTCTGGCAGGATGGCGCCGACAATGGGTTTAACAGTTCGCCAAATGAAAGGCTCTACGCCGCGGCCAACCATCGGTCCTTCAAGACCCCCATTGTCTGGAGTTCATTGTATGTGAAAGCCTTCTAGTCAAGAACCCCCCTATGTCATGACTGACACTAAAGCAGCATCACCGAGTACAACCTCGTCCTTGGAATTCTGAGTGTCTTCGTGTGGATTACAAAGATTCCGGTCCACATCCTTCACATGCTTACTCCGCCCTTGTCGGCCTTTGTCCACGCTGGCTTGATCGCCGTGTATATCTATTCCGTTCGTTATCAGGCCGGTCCCGACATGTCTGACCCCGAGCATCCTCAACCGGGCGCACCATGGTACATCACGAAGAAATGCTCAGTGGCTGCCGTCAAAACAGACGTTCACTACTGTATGCAAGCCAAGGCACTGTTTGCATTTTCGATAATTCTCATGTGAGGACGCCCTTATCCTCTGATATCCTTTTTTTGGGAACGGCCAGCTAATTTGCTTAACAGCCTATACTACGTTGTCGTGCTCGGCGTCAGCTTGCAAAACTGCGTCATGACGAAAGAAGAGCGTCAAGAACGGGAAGAGCTGCGCGAAGAACGAAGGACTATGAAAGAGTTCGAAGACTACGTTCTCAAGTCGCCTGGTATTCCTATGACCGTACCGAGGCAAACCGGGCCCATGCCGACGGGCATGCCTGGCAAGGCACCATTCCATAAGACTATCACTCGAAGCACTGATGTATCGTCGGCGGATCTCCCACTTCGTCAACACTTCAGTTCACCGAACCCTCGCCGCTCAATGCACCAAGTGTCGGCAGAGACACTTTCCGGGCATCAAGCCCAGTCCCAGACATCCTTTGTGCAGACCAACAAGGCGGGGGAGAACTAAGTCGCGTTGCGCTCTACCTAAGCCTAGGGAGCTACCTAGGGCTAGGGAGGCTCTTCGAGGCAATCGCTAAGCATGTAATGGGATTCACGTGCTCCATAGCTCAGTTACTTGCCCATCATTGATGGATTAAGATCGAATCCACGCTTACTTCTACTCTCACATCCGTCCCTACATCCACACCCCGAAACTTTGATTTATATACCATTTTGCGCGCTGGATCACGCGGAGTTTATCGGTTATACTTCCAAATGCGATAACGAGGCACTCATCAAGGACCACATAATGTTGTTTGTTTGACTTGCTCGCCTGTCACTAGTTCGTCTAGTGTTATCGCGCTTCCCTCCCCAACGTTCTCTCACTCCCCCCAATATTCTCTCATTCCCCCTTATCACAGGAGAATTAATTGAGTATAGCACCGAGATATGTTGTTGTTGAACCATTGACTCGTAATTAAGAGCTTTGAATTATGTAGTAGCAGCCTATACTTCGGGGCTTTCTCGGATGCTGATAAATATCTTCTGTCTCACAGTCTCAGACTTTTACATTTCCCCGATAGCTGCCAACCCTGATAATATATCGTATCGCGGCAACTTCATTGAGCAGAAAGAGACGCCATGTATACTGTTGAACTCAACACTTTCCGCAGCACATGCAAACAGAACACAGTAGAATATATTGAAGAAGACAGATCCATGAAATGATAGTACGACTTCATGCCATGAAGAATATGTAAACAAAAAATCATAACTAGTTAGTAAATCATGAATATTTGATTACTAAGTCATCACATGACCGTGCATAATGGCCTGTGTAACACGTGACCACAACCGGACCAACTTACTGCTATCATATCAACACTGGTCGGGATCCCACGCAAGTGACCTCTCGATATCTCTCACTTACGGCTGATCAACGTCCTCATAATGTCCCTTTCCC